TGAAGAATAACTTGGTTTTCTGCAGTAACATTAACGGCTTACTGGCGGCTTTAAATATAAACTATAACCCAGAATAATAGAGATTGTTTATAGACAGTTCACCATTGAGTTTAAAGGCAGTGTTATTGCATATTGGAAATATTTTACCATCTCTTCCTGTAGGGTATGCAGTTCACATGAAAGAATCATATGACAATATGAAGTACCTATTGACATGCATAAAATACGATGAGCACCAATGGCATATTTGTGGCGATTTGAAAGTTGTTGCACTTTTACTTGGGCTGCAGCTAGGCTACACAAAGTTTTGCTGTTTTTTGTGTGAATGGGACAGTCGGGCAAAGGCACTTCATTACACCAGACAAAACTGGCCTGTTCGTCAATTCCTAGAGCCAGGTCAAAAAAATGTACAGCATATGCCATTAGTAGATTCGAAAAAAAATTTATTACCACCACTGCATATCAAGTTGGGCCTAATGAAAAACTTTGTCAAGGCATGAGATAGAGATGGGTCAGCTTTTCAATACCTGCGTCAGAAATTTCCAAGACTAAGTGAGGCAAAGGTAAAAGATTCGAAATATTTTGAAAGATACACAGTTTGAAAACACTTTAACAGGTATTGAAAAAACTGCTTGGAATGATTTCCGTCTGGTGGTCACTAATTTCTTGGGAAATAGAAAAGCTGACAACTATAAAACCCTTGTCAAAAATATGCTGTCATCGTATCAAAAGTTGGGCTGTAATATGTCTCTTAAGATACATTTCCTACACTCACACCTGGACTTTTTTCCTGACAATTGCGGAGCCGTAAGCGATGAGCACGGCGAACGTTTTCATCAGGATATTTCAACAATGGGAAAAAGGTACCAGGGAAAGTGGAATCCTCCCATGCTTGCAGACTACTGTTGGACTCTTGGTAGAAATGCTCCAGAAACGATCCATAAAAGAACAGCAAAAAGACAGCGCATATAGTGATTCTTATAAGTATGTGAATCTTGTTACTTTTTTTAATATATCCTTAAAAATAAAAAGTTTTTTTTTCTAAACCGCAACTAATTTTTTATTTCATCGTCATTTTTGGATTCAGCGCCCCAAAATTAACAAAGAAGTGCACTTTTCCCACAAGATACAATTAAAGAACTAAAATTTGTTGTCGATAATTATCGCGAGTTTAATGCTTCCATCCTTAAGGTAGTCGTAGCTTTAGAAATTTGATTCAGAGGCGGCAGAAATAAAATCGCTGGAACATAGTGCTACAACGATTCAGAGATTCGTGCTCATTTTCAGACATTGGAGGGGATAAAAGTTGTAGGTTGGAAGTTGTCTACGACAAATGGTTGTAAATTATTGCATACTTGCTGTCAGTGAAAGACCTTCTATTATTAGGAAGTTACTGATCTCAGCATTACTATGCACCTATTAGACATAATAAGCACACATATTTCCCTACATCCGACATGGAAACAGAAATATGGTAGATTTGCTTCAGATAGTTTGATATGCAGAGGTGAAGATTCATCATACCTAAGTGACACTAACTACCTAATCACCTCCAACGAAGGCATATGAAGTATAGAGACAATCTACTCGACGGCATTTTTTTTTTCAATATCTGACAACCTTTTTTTTTCAATCAAATTATAGGAGAACCACAACTTCTCAAAGGTGTCACCTACACCTTCAAGGCCTGAGAAGGATTTGATGTAGTTTCTTGCCAAGGAGAGGATTTTGAGATTAATCAGAGCACTCAATCCCGGTATTTTTTCTACGATGTTGGTGGATAGACTGAGTTTGTATCCTATAGTACATGTACTGAAGGTCGCCGTTTTAACTGAGACGTGTACATTAACGAAGAATTTTACATACATGTGGTTTCATTGGCCAAACATGGTTCATTATCAACATGAAAAACACGTGATAAGTTTAGGATGTTACATTTACGAAAGTTCACATTCAGTGAGATGATCTCAACGAGAACTAGTACCAACACTGCTAGAAGGATTTTCCTAGTTCTGTGCATTCATGACCGGCCTACAAAACACTAATTTTGGCAAAGGGTTTTGTCAAGTCAAGGCAGCATTGGTTGTCAGAGCTCTTGAGTCACAATCACGTAACCTTTTTTTTACTATTTTGATCACTTACTAGTAATTTGAATTCCTCTTTATTAATGGTAGAGTGCCCATTTCTAGGCCAAAGATAACGTAATATCCGTATGCACCAATCTTAAATAATTTGTAATGTAACATTTTAATAATAAAATAGTAAAATAAATAAAACATAATAAATCCAGGTCAAATAATTATTTGACAATCTATATTATTATAATGTCATGTCAAATACTTTGTAGCCACATAAACAAGGACAAAACTTACTGATTCAATGATTTTCTTTTGGTAAATTTCATAACTTATTGATTATAATTTCATACGTATTATATCTTTCTTTCTCAGCGACTCAGTATTGTGTTGGAATCTTTTAGACACTAATGTTTATAGTATTATCAACGACTATCTTCGAAACTTCCTCATAAATTATGGTTGGACCTTCGTAGAGTTGGTTCTGCCCATTGGCAGCGCAACCTTGTGATTTCCATACGTACTAGCCGTGAAGGGATATTTGGTCCTATCAAGATACCTTCTTCAAGGCCACTCATTTAACCTGCTTTTAAAAAGTTAGTTTTTCTGCGTCATTTATTTTCCTGCTGAGATTGTTGTGTGGGTGTCGTTTTATTTTCAAATTCTGGGATATAAGACTCCCAAACATCAATTTATGGAGTAGTTCCCTTTTATTTTGTACCTTACGTTTAGTTGTGTTGGTTTGGGTGCTACCCTGTCCATTTTCTAATGGGATTTTAACCTTCAGCGGCAAGTTCTTTTTTCTATACCATCGGACCACGTCCATTAATGCATGTCCTGAAGAAGTTTGTTCAATATCTGCTTCTTTCTAGTGGAAACGCATTGCGGAGAATCATCATTCACACTCCTCCAGCTTTGTCTTGTAGCTGCCTTGTAGCTGTCTCGCGAGTTTGTTTGGCATTTTTCGTATTCAAAAATAGAGCGGTGCCTACATGTCACCTTCTTTGGAGCTTAATTAATCGTGATTTTGATTTTTGAGCTACCATAACTTTATTTTAGAACTTGGGATAACTTTCTGAGGGTATATCATTTTAGTACATTTTTATATTTTCTTACCTCTTGTGAAAGAGAATATACATGGATTTTTCTTCAAGTTTTGAGTGTTTTAAATGTGTAGTTCTGTCTCATACAGAGAATATAGAGTAGATTTTAAGCTGCCTTTCTATCTCTAGGGTTTTTTATACCGTAAATTTTGGGAGGCAAGCAGCCCATACCTTGTGCCGTCTGTCGGCCACTGTCTTTTTATTTTTGACCTGAGCGTTTATGAGCTGAAGACATCTCGGCTGTGCCTAGAGCTGTAACAGGAAGAAGACCATCATCCAGATAAGTTTAGGTTTAGGCGTCAAAATATTTATAAAGCCTTTATTGTAAATAAAGCCTTTCTACGTGTACCATGGTAAACGTTTTGCAGGGCAAATTATCACGGTCTAATAATTTTATTGTCAGGTAGTTTTGATTAATATCCTTTCTTTTAACTTGCACTCCAGTGATGGAGCATACGTGCTGTTTTGATAATATATTGTGATTTTTTTTAATATCTTGTTTTATTTGTCTCTCTGTATACAGTTAATTAGGTTTTGCCATTGTTGTTAGATTCTTTTCCTTTGTGTGGTGGTCAAGCAAAACAAGTTTCGACTAACATCTCGGGGATTTGTGAGTAAATCCGTCTTGAGTCATTGGCGCTCTTAACCTCCCCTACTCTCCGCTTTATTGAGCTAGTGCCTAAATTTACTCGCCACTTGACAGCTGTTTTACATGGACTGATCCTTAGATTTCATTTACAGTAATTCAGTAATTAATTTATGAAAGGAAAGAGGAGTCACACCACCATTTCCTCTTGTTTATAAAAAACAAGTGTGGCAAGGTATGTAAGTCTGTAAGGTCTGGTAGCCCAGAAACCTGACGTTTTGAGGGAAAAAGGAAAGAAAAGAGAGAAGGAAGAAAGAGAGCAAAGAGGATTAAAAAAATATTTGAAGACAAGGAACTATTATTCATACGGACCACCTTGCACGTTTCGATCGACCCTCGTAACCGCGACTCATTAAGCCTTATTATCGGACTTGAAGTTGATACCAGAGACCGTGGCTGTGTCGTCCGGTTTAAACGGACATACATAAGTATATATATACTAGGTATAAAAAACTAAGTGGACCGAGCTGTGAGAAGTCCAAGTCCGCAAGCAAGAAGCAATAAAATATCTACTTACTTGAGGTTGGGCTTGGCTTTGTTGATGATCACCTCGCATACCGGGCAGTGGCTGTTCTCGTGGAGGAACTTTATTATACAGCTACGACAAACTGAAACAATATCATACAGTTTGGAAATTTTCTAATCTAATATTGAATATACAGGGTTTCCTGAAAATTAGAACTTTCCTTTCCAGAGACAAACAAAAATCAATAAAAATTTCAAAATACCGCCCTATCACATATTGCTTATTAACAGTGTCCGAATTTTGTTTGTTTTGTTTGTTAACATCTTACTCAATTTGCCTCTACGTTTGCTCAAATGGACTTTGTACGAGATAAACAAATCTGCGTGGCGCGGGATGGAAACTACCGTGAAAACATGGGAGAAGTAAACTTTAAGAACACCCTGTATCTATAGCTTCAAGACAGTATAAAGTCAATGTCAATTAGATAACTTTCTTAGACCAATTTTGTTTCAGTATTCCAGTCCATCAAAATAATCAACTTACACGAATGAAGACATTCGGATATTGTCGTAGCGTCGATCAGGTACCCTTTGCAGAGATGACACGTCAAATACGGATTTAATTCTTTCAGCTTGATCTTCTCTAGCTTCTTTATGGGCTGCTCCATCATGGGTGTCTCGCCTGGAACAAATGAAATTCGTCATGAGTAATCAAGGAAAAATCTCAATTTCAGCATGAGAGAAATGGCTAGATTTAGAGCTAAATCCCACCTTAAAATCCGTAGCTGTGGTAGAAGGGGAATAAGAATATATTTTGCAGATAATGGAAAAGACTCGTTCGCCATGCATCACACCACGGAAGTGCATGACAGCATCTTATCGTGGTGGGTATTGGTCTCAACCCATTTCCTCCCTCCACACTCATGTATGTATGTGCATACTCAGCAGAAAGAGTAACCTCTTGTTAGTGTCCTTTTCTGTTTTTCTCGTCAGATACCTTGCCTTGCCTCAGTAATTGTTGAATTTCAACTCATTTGCCCTCGCCTAGATGTTTGGCAAAGTTGTCAGCAGTGAGCCTCTCGCCGAACGTCACTACCAGTTGCCTCGCTTAATCAACACATCTACCGCGTTCGAGTGTCTTACTCGTCACAGCAACATATGCAGTGTGCTTATTTTATTGGCTCTTTCTCTTAGGTAGTGTCCAAAGCATGCGTGTCCCCGTAAGTAACTGTGCAGTAAAGACATCTGCACAACTCAACTGTCAATACAGACCTAAATGCTTGCAATTCGCTTCCGAATCTCCACGATCGTGGTCTAGCAAGGTATATTTTAGCGCTATATATATATATATATATATATATATATATAGGTGAAAAATTAAAGCTTCCACCTTTTGTTGGGTACTTCGACAAAATTTAAGCAAAGAGGACTCTTTATAATTTTTTTAATTCTCTCTGGCTTTCAATGGACTTTGCCATCATCATCAGGAGCTGCAATTACAATGATAACAGTAGCAACAAAGGTGTAAAATGAATTTAAATTGAATCAACTTACAGTAGTATGTGAGGATGTTGCTAATTGTTGTTTTCGTATAGGATGAGGGAAACGTCCAGTAACATGGTGAGAGCTGGATACATGGTACAATGGTTAAAGTTATATAATATATGACAAGACAAGTTAAAGACAGATTAAAAATTATCTAGAAAACATTAGAGCATTACGTCGTGAAGCCACTTGATGATTGCACAAAATTGTGGTCATGGAATAATGAGTGAGATGAACCTTTGACAGAAGGCCGAAGGTTGTCAATGTCTGTGTTGAAAGATGGAACGAATTGTGGGCGTGTGCCAAAACGTTGCCAAATCACTTCAGATGATGTGATTTTCAGAATGTTATGTAAGAAATTGTTAAACCGACCAGAGGCAATTGAATAAACTATATTTTAATTAATGGGAATTTTAAATTAACAATTATTAATAAATCGTGAGAAGAGAATTATTAGATTTTGAGTGGAATGAAATTTGTTGGTGGAATCGGCCAAAACACAGATTATATTTATGGTTGTGAAAAGTCGAAATTTGGGGAGATATGTAAGTTCTCCAATTTTTCGCAGTTTAGCAAATATGAGTAAATGACACTCAGTTGTTTAATATCTGTCTTTTTGTTGATACAGTTGTTATTCATGAAATTGTGGGGCAGATATTAAACAACTGAGTGTGATTTACTCATATTTGCTAAACTGCGAAAAATTAGAGAACTTACATATCTCCCCAAATTTCGACTTTTCACAACCATAAATATAATCTGTGTTTTGGCCGATTCCACCAACAAATTTCATTCCACTCAAAATTTAATAATTCTCTTCTCACGATTTATTAATAATTGTTAATTTGAATTTCCCATTAATTAAAATATAGTTTATTCAACTGCCTCTGGTCGGTTTAACAATTTCTTACATAACATTCTGAAAATCACATCATCTGAAGTGATTTGGCAACGTTTTGGCACACGCCCACAATTCGTTCCATCTTTCAACACAGACATTGACAACCTTCGGCCTTCTGTCAAAGGTAGATCTCACTAATTATTTCATGACCACCATTTTGTGCAATCATCAAGTGTCTTCACGACGTAATGCTCTAATGTTTTCTAAATAATTTTTAATCTGTCTTTAACTTATCTTGTCATATTTTATATAATTTTAACCATTGTACCATGTATCCAGCTCTCACCATGTTACTGGACGTTTCCCTCATCCTATACGAAAACAACAATTAGCAACATCCTCACATACTACTGTAAGTTGATTCAATTTAAATTCATTTTACACTTTTGTTGCTACTGTTATCATTGTAATTGCAGCTCCTGATGATGATGGCAAAGTCCATTGAAAGCTAGAGAGAATTAAAAAAAGTATAAAGAGTCCTCTTTGCTTAAATTTTGTCGAAGTACCCAACAAAAGGCGGAAGCTTTAATTTTTCACCTATATATATATATATATATATATATATATATATATATATATATATATATATATGCGACAAGTTTTCCATCAAATCTGTCCAATGCCTTGAAGGGACGACGCACATCTAAAGCAGTGAATAAATGACTCATACCCGACCGACATCCAAAGAAACTGCAGCAAGCACACACGCGGTGCAGAGCGGCGAGTGTACGCGCCAAGCGGCAACGCGTCAAACAACGCCGCTGCTGCCTTTCGCCGGCCGGGCGGTGTGTTTATGTATGTCTGTCTGTGACGTCAACGTCGCGCCGACCGCCGTAAATGTGGCAACGTCGCCTCACATGCGACATAGCGCTGCGTCGCGATCGCGGCGGAAAGAGGAGGGGAAGGACGACGCTTCGCCGCGCCGCGTGCGGATAGGGCAGGCAGGATACACACGGCCTCTTTTGAGCTTATTGCTAGTCTAGTACTCCGGGAAGTGTGTCTATATTAGTGGTGGCAGATATTTCAGGAACCCTGATTTAATAAATGATATTTCTGAAAAAGCGTGACGTGTTCACACAAACATTTCTTTGGCTTTGATACTAAAGATTAAAAAAATAGCCGAACATTAATTAGATTATTACTGGCAATGTTTTTATGTAACATCTTGTGCCCATAACTTCAAAATTAACATCTTAAAATCATCCGCAGTTATATTTGGAGCAAAGGTTAAAAGACTCGGGGAAACGTCAATGCTATCATTGAACCCCTCCATACCTGTCAACCAAATTTGTCAGATACTCGGATATTATTCACCTGAATACAAAAAGTAAGAATCTCTTGGGTATACCTAGAAATTCAACGACTCTATTTTTGAATGATCATACACATCATGTACTGCTATTAAGCTATACAACGCATTGTCTACCGAGTTCACTCACTACTATAAAGAATTTCAAAAAAAAGGTTGAGGCATTTTTTCTTCTGATTATATTGCATATATATTCAAAAATAAAGATACCGGCCATCTTTAGTACCGATATCAGATATCGCAATTTTCAAATTCAACGATATCGGCCGTCTCTAGTCAATATCCTATTGAAAAGACATTTACGCCTGATCACAACAAACACGAATACATATTGGGCTTCTATTTGAGAGCCTGAGGAGCGTAAGTGCTATTTAAATGAGGTTTAACACTCTAGCGTCGGAAATAAAGAACTGAAAATCTTTTTAACAACTACCTTGACGGTGCTACAGTTATGACATAGCGAACCTTATTACAGTCCATTAGAGTCTATAGAACAAAAATTTTTGTGACCCCTATAAAAACATAGAGAACGTTCGTTTCATTGAAGAGGTAAAAATGAACATACATTCATACCAGGGTCTTTGACGGTATATGTATACGTGTTCCTAAACAAATTCACGCTACTTGCATGGACCTCTAAAGCGGACGGCTCTAATAACAGCCATTTTGCCGTACGATAGCTAAGATCTTGCTCTCTTTGAAAACACAGGAGAGAGACCACTGTACCAGTCCATGCTGAGACAGTCGAAGTATTTTAGTTTCCACGTCAATTGGCCAGGAAGTATTATTACATTTACCAAAATAAATCAAAATTGTGATACTAATCACACGACACGTACATCATGAAAAACTGACACTCATTATTTCAGCATGTCTATCGGTCTATCCAGTAAGTAGCTCTACAACTCTGAAAGTAGTGCTTAGATTTTTGATTTTTTATAAAACGTTACTACCAAGCCAAGGACGAAAACGCTTTGCAAGTTTTCAAAATCGGTTCAGTGGCGGTCGAATTAGAAGCGCAGAGTTTTGAAACTCTCTTCAACCTTTGCTTATCCAGGTTTTCTGAAATTCTGGTAATTTATAGGCGTAGCCAAACAATTTTTGGAGCCGAGTGTTTAAAAAAAATCCTAACTATGTATTCTCATAATTTCACTTACCACCCGTGACACTATACAGTCTACGAAAACCAAATGTTCGCCGATTTTCGTCTAACAGACAAGGTTAAAAGTCGCTTTAAAATAAAGTAACATCAAAATACTCTTCGGGGTCCTGTAAAGCAAGGTTTAACAGCAAAAACGTTTAATCAACAAATTTTAACACCGTTTTTAAACATTGAATATGTTAGGACTTTTCAGACAATAAATCGCTTATAACTCGAAAATGGTCAGCTTTAGAGAAAAGCTGATTGAAGCCTCATTAGTTTGAACTGATCCAAAAACCTGAAAAAAAAATCCTAGTCAAAAAAAATTGTTGAACCAAATTTGATCTGGGATCAATGCTTGAAAACCCGGTTACAATTATAATTTTTGAGGTCGCCGAGTATCTCAATTTAAATTAACACTGTATTCTACAAGACCTTAAAGAGTATACCGAGATTAGTTTACTTTAAAGCGACTTCAACCTTGTTTTTCAGGCCGAACTTTTGGTTTTCGCAGTCTGTACATACAATTTTAAATACATTTTTATCAATTCATAAGAAGCATTGAGACATTCGCGATTACAAAATAGTTTTTTTTAAAAAGGCTGACATTGAAATTTCATTTCCGACCTTATCGCCTACAATTTTCGACTTGTCTACCGGACTATAAACCACCAATACGGCCTTTGGGACGGCCTCCTTTGATCGACCGATGATGATGTGACCCGTGCCGCGCAACGTGTGTAGGGAGCTACAAGCAATTAGCCTTCATTAATTGCTATGCTAAAACGATGGTTGGTTGGCTTACGTAAGGGCTCCGATACATCAATATAGCCAAATATAAAATGTATTTTAATGAAGAAGATTTACCACTAAAT